CCTCGCCCCAGGCTCGCCCTCCGCCGCCGTGCCCTCCGCGGCTGAGCTGCGCCACCTGCGCCGCCTGCTCGCCTCCCGCGTGACCGTCGGCGCTGACGACCTGCAGGAGGTGCAGTCGCCGCTGCCGTACCCCTTCTCCGCCCTCGGCCTCCTCGTCTTCGGCGACGCCGACAGCGGCGCGCCGCCCCTGAGCGGCAGCAGCGGCGACGACGGCGCGCGCGCCGCGAGCGACATGTCGATCTGCACAGGGTTCATGGTTTCCCCGGACACCGTGTTGACGGCGGCGCACTGCTTGTACAACGTGCCGAACGACCTGCGGCCGGACCGGCCGATCGGGTACAGGAAGGTGCTCGGCTTCTTCCCAAGCTATTCCCGCGCTGCCAACGGCGCGGGCGTCGCGCCGCTCGGCCGCGTCGACGCGGTGTGGTCGGAGGTCGCTCCCGAGTGGGTCGCCGCGGCAGCGGAGGGCAATTTCTACTGGCGGGGCGACGTCGGCGTCGTGCGGCTCAGGCATAAGGTGGGGGGGTGAGGGCGGGGCAGGCCCCAGCGCGGCGTGGCAAAGTCTCCGAGAGCTCAAACCGGATGAGCATGCGTGCGGCAACCTCACTATGTCCCGGGTTTTTTCCCTGGGTTGAAGTCGACATTTCTGGTACTGCTTTCGCGGTAAGCCCGATCAACCATGAGATTGAGGAGCGGGCGGCTGCCCGCCTTTTTGCTGTGGGCAGAGTGGTGCCTTCAAGCGACTAATGGCGTAATGGGCCCGCCCTCCCGCCACACCCTCGTCACTCCCGCACCCTCTTGCCGCCCCCGCCACCCCTCCGAACCCCCACCACTTTCATCACCTCACTTGTAGCGGCCCCCCACTTATGCATGTAACAGGTTGGCGACACGACCGGCTGGTTCGGCCTCGCCCACGGCTGCGACGTCGCCGCGGCGCTTCTGAAGGCCGCCGCTAAGGAGCGCGCCTCCGACGCCCTTGGCCCTACCGTCGCCGCCGCTGCCACCAGCTCGGCCGCTGTGTCCGTTGCCGGCTTCCCCGGTGCGAGCGCGACGACGGCGCAGGGCGGGAAGCTGCTGTTTCCCCTGATGGGTGACCAGACCTGCCGCGTCGCGACCTCGGGCCTCTGCCCGGCCGACTCAGGGGGTGCTGACCGCCAGGCGGGCATGCTGCAGCACAAGTGCGACACAGGGAAGGGCATGAGCGGCTCTCCCCTCTGGGTGCGCGGCGACACCCGGGAGGGCGCCGCCGCCGCTGGCCTGGCGAGCGGCGGCGGCTTCCCGTCGCGGCGCGACGCGGCCGGCGCAGCGGAGGGGGCGGGCGGCGGCGCGGGGGTGACGGTGGTGGGGGTGGTCAGCAGGTCCCGCGGCGACTGCCCTTGGGGCCCGGACTGCGTCAACCTCGCGGCGCCGATGGATGCGCGCGCGCTCTCGCTCATACGCGGCTGGATCGCCCGCAGCTGAGACAGCGCGCGCGACGGCCCCATCTGGCGCGTCTCGCAGCAGCAGGCCCGCCCGCTGCCCGCTGCCCGCTGCAACCCGGCGGCCGCCGCCATGCGCCCGCCTGGGCGTTGCTTCCGCCGATGTTGCTATGTGATGGCCCACCTGATCCGATGATTACCCCTCGTGAGCTGTTTGTGAGTCGAATGAACAACCTGATGCATCAACACTGCCCGACCCATTTGAGTTGTGAGTCTTGCCACTGAACCGGGACCTTCCCAGGGGGCGGCGGCCCGCTCGCCGGCCTGGCTCTGCTGCATGCGGCGACAATTGCTTGGTTGCCCGCCGTTTGTGCGTTCAGAAGTCGGCCGCGCCGACAAGTGCCCTCAAGGCCCCTACAACCAATCCGATGTCTTGATCCAAAATTTTAGACCCAATCTCAGCTGGTGAGGCACCGGCGGTTTGCTGAGTGCCGGTTGGTGCACCTGCCCCCAAAACACAATGACTGTCGCCCACGCGGGCCAGCAGAATGGCCGACATCAGAGCCGCTCTCTTGCATTTCCTCCCGACCCGATTACACTCGTAATATTGACTTCGGCATAGCTGCAGGCTCCTTAGCATGGTTTTGTCGGGATGCAGGGCGGCAACTCCACCCCTCACTACCGCGTTTGTTGCAACCCAACCCCTCTGGCACTCGCTGCCAGAGCCGTCTGGCACTCTGGCCTCGCGAAGCCCGGCCGGTGCCCCGTGGGCTGGTGCGCAGCAATGCGCTTTTACCTTTTTGAAGCGGGCGCAGTCACTGCAGCGCACGCACGAGCGTTGCAGGTTTCCTGCTGTCTGTGATGCGTTTTTGCATGTTTCACGCGCTGCACACAGCTCGCGAAAATGGTGCCAGCTGGTGTCATGTGCTTAGATACATCTGCGGTTGGTGCGTATCTCTGTTTGCATACAGGTCTGTGTGCAGTATACACGTGAACTCACATGAACGTGCATCCCCTGCCAGCCTGTGGTGCAACGCAGACGTCACACCTTATGCAGTCACATATGCAGTCACATTTGGACTCTTTTTGTTCCTTTCTTTTAGTTGTTGTCCTGGCACCGGCTAGGTTAGTAGTATTGTAGCTGATGTCAAGGTGTAATAAAACCTGTCAAACCACAATTGCTGGTGCCGGCAGCCTTGGTCAGCAGCGCCTTGAAGTAGCTGAGGCTGTGTGGGTATTTCAGACCACACGCACTCGCTCATCACCGCCAACTTGCCCACGCAAAATTCTTCCATCACCACACCGGGAGCTTCAAGGGGAGGGGTAATAGTCAGGACAGAGAGGAATATGAACAAGCAACATTGAAGTTTTGCGGGCAGTGAGGACCCCAATTTGCTGTGCCGGTTGGAACGCTTGGCACGCATTGCTCGCGCACCTGGCAGCCGTGCGCTCGCAATCACATGTGCAAGACGACCAACAAATGAAGGGCTACTTCACGCTGGTGTCTGGGGACCCCGCCCACGGGTGTCTGGGTGGACGCCTTGGCCATGCAAGCCGTCCACGCAGGCTGTTTGGGCGGCGGGATGCCTGTAGCAGGCAGCAGGTGGCTTCAGGATCTTCTCTGCTCCGATGCAGCTCCAAATCCTGATCTTCAGTCCAGCCATGCAGTGCTGTGACGATGGTAACTGCCCCCCGCCTTTTCAGCACCCATACACACACCCTTTGACCAGCCCGTGTGCGGCCACAGCCACCGGCTTTGAAGGTGTTATTGTGAAGCGCACCACGAAAATCCCTCTGCCACATGGCTGTGAAACCGTTTTTGTGGTGCGTTGTCACAAGAATCTGCACCACGACCGCACGTTTGGCTGCAGGATGACACGCACCTCTTGCCTTGTTACAGACGGAATGACGTGGCACAGTGACAGGTGGGGTACAAGCCGCGCACCGGAGGAATGGTGCGGCCCACGGGACTGAGTGGTGTCCAGGGTTGGCTGGAATCGTCGTCGCTGAGCCTGGGTCAAATTTCATGGACGGCCTCGAAACAACCAAAACCAGCAGCGCAACCTTGGCCGCAACGGCTGGCATCAAGTCGAGAGGGATAGACGGCATCAAGCCCAGAGGAATAGACGCTCATTGCAACGCCAAACAAAAGATGACGGAACAGCTGCGCGGCCCCGGCTGGTGCGACTGCACATGCCAGGCGCCCAGCCCCACTGCACCAATGACGCCACAATGCACACATTTATGACTTTGCATTTTGAACACGTTCTCGCGGGGTGGGCCTTGCCAGCCACATGCGAGGTAGTGTCTGCAGTCACATAGCCCCGTCATACCCCGCGTGCATGGGTGGCTAGGGTGCCTGGCAAAGAGGGCGCGCCGGGGCCCGCAACAAACACCGGGTGTCTCGAGGGGTAGCAGCAGCAGCAACCGCGTCAAATTGCAAGCGCATACGCTGGGGACACATACGCTGGGATTCAACAGGATTGCTGCCAAGAGCTGGGGTGTACAGCAAGTCCGACCCGTTCAAATTGAAGTACGCCCCAAGCGTGACACCTGGGCACCTCACGCCTGTGCGCATAGCACCCAGGCAAAACACAACAGCTTCAAGCACTAGAGGGGCTCCGAAAGTGCCATCGGTGAGACCAGAAGCACGCCACCGGTGCTGGTGCCGTTGCTGGGTCACTCGGACAAGTGACCGCCCAGTGTCAAGTACGCGCTCGTTATTTGGACTCTCTCTTGCTTCCCCACCGAACAAGCGGGGCGAGGGTCCGGTACAGCAATCGATCATGTCGGTGATGTCGGCGGTTGAGGGTCGCGTGCTGTGACGCTGTGGCAGCTGGGGGGGCGCCAATGCCGACTGCCCCTGCAGAAGAGGGGCCCATGCGCCACATGCAGCGCATCACGCACACATCAGCACAGCCGGCCGCCGGCCCGTTGCGGCGCGCACGGCGTGCAGCCGGCGCGCGGGCGCTCGCGTCGAGCCGCTCAAAGTGTGTTGGGTACGGATGCAAGGGGTGCAAGGAGTGTGTCACGGGGAATCGATGCGTTTGAGGGGGTTGAGGGGGCAGAGGATGCGACCTGCCAACCCACACGCGGAGAGATGAGGGGCAAGAGGCGCACCAGAGGTCAAAACAGTCGGTCAAATGCAAGTCAAGCGAATGCGGAGCGCGGCGCGCCGCGTCAGCTGGGCAGCTGCAGCGGCGACACCGCCAGCTCCCTGCGCGGCTCGCAGGGGCGCGGCGGGCCCGCGCCCGCGCCCGCGCCCGTGCGCTGGGGCTCGGGCAGCATGAAGGCTGCCTTGCGGGCGTCGGGGGGCGCGTGGCTGCCGTTCAGGCGGGCCTCGGTGTCTGCCAGCAGGGCGTGGATGGTGTTGGTGGCACCGGCGCTGCACAGGTGCCTGCGAATATGATGGGTCGGGCCAGGAAGTTTTCCGGCTCAATCGCCATGATGCGCCTGGTAGCAAGGACACCCAATACACAGAAGATACAGACAGACCGTGAAATGCAGGGGCTGCGATCAGTGCAGCGCACGCCCTGCAGGATGCGATTAGCTGATCAAAGCGACAGCTGAGAGCCCCCCCTGCACGGGGGCATGCAATTCCCACACGTCCCCACCCACCAGGCCGAGTGTATGAAGGGGGCCCTTGGTGCCGCGTCCTCCACGAAGAAGAGCGTCACCCCCACCAGCGCGGCCGCGGAGTGCAGGCGCTGGGCGGGGCGCAGCGAGGGGTCGGCCAGGGCGCGGCGCAGGAATGCCACCTCCATCGCCTGTTGGGGGGTGGGGGTCACATGGTTACGGTTGCCTTGGTTTGAAATCACGATAATATACGGACTTGGTTTTGTGCGCTTCGCGTCTGCAGAACCAGGGTGATGGCCGGCAGGACCGGGCAGGCCAACTGGGATCCGCTGAGCTGCCGGATGTGGCGGCGCTCCTGGTGAGCCTGCATTCAAGGCGCCGCGGCCGCGCAACGGCGCCACGCTGGGCGGGAGCCGCGCTGGGCATCGCCGAACCCCGCGGCGCCTCATGCGCGCGCGCATGCGAGTGAAACGCAAGATTGCAAAGATGACACGCGTGTGAAGGCTATACATGATTTTCACCAACACGCGCGTGGACGACAACACCTCGTGCGTGCTCACAGTGGTGTGGAGGGTGGAGACGATGAAGGGCCGAAAGGGGGTCACCGCCAGGCTGGCTGCCGTGATCACGGCGGGCTGGTTGGGGTAGAGGGCGCGCGTAAGCAGTGCTGCAGGGGGGGGCAGGACGGGGC